TATAAATTTTTATTAAAAATAATTCTGGCTTATAAGTATATTTTATTATTTAAATAATCGTATACAAAGCAAAATATAAAAAGATTATATTATATGCGAGAATGTAATATGCTTCGGGATTAATGGTCCCCAAAATAAAAACATTAATTCGGAATGCACATATATCACCTAGAGCTGAGTGAGTTATTATTAATTACTCTAATGGCATCATGCCCACCACATGATTTGACCGAAATTAAATATTAGTTTCTACAAATATTATAATCCCTTTTTTTTTAAATTTAATTTAATTAAATTTACCATGATTAATAACGTAACAGCAGTGAATTAATAAAGAAAAATTACGTAACCCAATTTAATTAATATGAAATTATTTTTGAAAGAGTCAAGGTCCACCACGACACATTAATATACACGAGGAATGATCTTATTGCACCAATTGGGAAAAGAATAAATAAATATATATATACAATTGTGTATAATCAAATAATACAATACTATTGATGTTAATAATATTGATTTCTGAAAAGTTGTATTGAATTCAATATTAGCTTAATTTATTAGATATGTCAATTCATTTGTAATTTTATAACATTTAACAATTTTTTCTTTGATGTAACATAATTTATATATATATATATGTCAACATAATTATTTATTTAAAAATTTTATATTTTACCCAAATATTATGATTTTAAATTTTATTAAATACATAAAATTTGTTACCGACTGATAATGCTGATTTATAATATTTTATTTAATTTATTAATACGATGTTAAGTTACAATAATTAAATTATGTTAAATTTTTATGAATTTATTATATTTTTTAAAGTAAAATTTATTTAACTATAGTAGTTATAATTAATAAAAAATTCAAGATAACTTTTTTCTTTCCTAAAAGAAGGCTGACAATTATTTTATAAACCTTTCATTTTAATATTAATTAAAATAGTTTTTGTTGCAATTAAGCTTATAAATAAGAGAAGATTAAACAAATCAACAAAAAAAGGGAAAAAAAAAAAAAGCCAGCAAATGAGGTCTAGCAAAAGATTAATTAATAATTAGTAATTAGTAATTAATTATTAATTATTAATTATTTAATGAACAATATGCAAAAACCGTCCCAATCAGAAACCAAAATTGATGGAGCGACATTTCATCTAATTAATGTCTTATCAATCCTACCTTTTTTTTTTGTTTTGTTTTGTTTTTGCAACATAATCCTGACAAATTAAATTAATATTAATTGTGATTAGCATAAAGTTTTAATTAAATTCCTTTTATAAAGTCTTTGTCTTATCGGTTCTGTTAGTCTAATTAATTAGAAAATAATTATTAATTAGTATAAAATTATAGAGTTGTTATCAATAATCTAAAAGCGTAGGGGAGTTTCTGATAGCATATTTTCCACATTAAAACATATATGTTTACTAATCAGACTACATTTTATTAATAATTTAAAATTTTAAATAATATAATACATAGTAGAGTACCAGCTACTAAATATTTAATATAGTGTTATGAAAAAATAAATTTATAGTTATTGATATTTTTAACAATTAATTACAGCTTTCCCCTCCACAACTGCAATTTTGTGGGGTTGGAATTTGAAAAAGTTGGAATATTATTTGTGGGGAATATTTATAAATAGATATATACATATATATATATGTCTCTGTGTGTGTGTGTGTGTATATTTGTGTGTTTTCATCAGGTATAATTCTTGGAAAATGGGCAATATGTATAGACTCTCTCACTGCTTTGTCTTCTTCAATGACAAGCTCTTCAAGAAACACCCTTCCTTAAAACCCAGATTTCAACAAAGGGTCTACTACCCAAATAGTCCAACACCATGGAATTACCTAATCATTGACAAACAAATATATATGTCTATGAAACTCATAAGAGTCAGACAAAATACTAGATACACACACACACACATATATATATATTATTAAACCAACACAAACTTAAGAACATACCTAAAAGGCTAAATCCTTAAATCTGTACAATCAATATTCTTAAAATGCATAAATTTTTTTTTTTTTTATATTGTCTACAAAGATTATATAGTTCATGTGCATTAAAAACTAGTTTGGAGAAAAAAAAAGATTGGGTACGTAAAAAAAGATTATGAAAGTAAATCAATATGGAAAAAATGAATTAATGGAGATGCACATAATATTTGAGAAGCATTACCTTACCTTATATAACCCACAACACAAATATATATAATTATATGTGCAAATTTTGGTTATAAAACAAAGATTGAGATGGAGTAGATAGATGATCAAAGGGAGATTATTGGAGTTGGGTAAGTGTGGGATATTATATATATATATATATATATATATATATAGAGAGAGAGAGAGAGAGAAGGGAAGCTGGGAGAGAATATAAGTTACATGGATAGTGGAGTAGTGGTATATCTAGAGAAGTGGCCTAAAGTTGGATTGATGCAAATGTAGGGGGGTTAATTAGTGGGTATGGTTTTATATACGAAGGAAGGAAGCGTGATATGGGAATGTGAAAAAGAAAAAAAAGGTAAGAAAAGCACGGTCTGGAAATTTGGGAATTGGGTATAAAATTTTTTATAATTAATGAATGTAAAAAAAGGAATAATCGAGCAAGTCATTCATAGCTCTGACTTCTTTTTTCTTTTTTTTTTTTTTTTAAAAAAAAATGAGATTGGTAATGATCATGAGATTAGTATTATGTGTGTGTGTGTGTGTGTATATATATTATAAAATGAGAAAAGGGGTGCATGGTATGGGTGAATGTAATTAGTATGGAAAAGAGGGAAAGTGTGGGAGAATTTTGGCAGTGTTTGGAGAGGGATTAGGGAGCAAGGAATGTGGTATGAGTGAGTTTTGATGGTGGGTTTGATGATGGTGATGCACGCCGGCAGCTTTATATATATACCCTCTCTCTCTCTCTCTCTCTCTTTTGTATATACAAAACCCAATTGGCACGCCTGCTCCCACTAAAACCTATCACTCTCTCTCTCTCTCTCTCTATATATATATATATATATATATATACATATGAAAGAATGAAAAAGCGAACCCACTAACCCATTTTCTCATTTCATTCTCCCCCCTTAATTATCTTTTTTTTTTTGTTTAACCTTTAAAAATGATAAATAGTAATCTTTTTGTCGAAGAGATCACCAAACACTTTGTTAGCTAACTAGTTCATATCCCCACTTTTATCTTTCTTATTTTTCAAGGAAAACTCGGATTACCTTTTGTCTACCTATATATTTTATTTAATTCTTACAATAATGTTTGCATTACATCTAAAATGTCATGACCGGCAATCATACAAGTCAAGTAAATGGGTAATTATAAATCAATACGTACGTATTCTCAATACATAAATGAACGATTTAGAAAATCATATATAAAAATGGAATCTTCAGTAGCCATCAAATTTTAATTTTTGAAAAAAAAAAAGAAGAAGAAGAAGAAGAAAACCCCATTGTTTGGCAACTTAATCTTTTGCTAGCTAGTTTTATAAACAGCAAAAGAGGACTATATATAATATATATATTAGTCAATTCCCCTCATCAATATTTTAAAAAGACACGAACCCCACTCCATATTATTCTTCATCGGTTGCAGGAAAAAAGAAAAAGCTCACTTCATTTTTTCTCTTTTTTATTTCATAATTTGCTTTGATAGTTAGATTCCTCTTAGCTTCTTCATCACACACACACACACTGTCTCCCTCTCTCTCTCTCTCTAATAATTTTTTTTACAAAACCCAACTAGTAAAAATCAAATCTTAAGATCCTGCCTTTAAATTTTAATCATTCCAAATTCCCAATTCCCCTCTGTTTAAAATCAAACTTATACCACCATACCCACCATTGACTCTTCTTCTTCTTCTTCTTCTTCTTCTTCTTCTTCTTCTACCTAACAGAGGGACATATCAGAGCTTTAAAGTGATTTATACTAATCTTATTGATGTGGGTCTCTGTTTGGTTAAATGGATACCTTGTTTAGGCTAGTCAGTCTCCAATCCGATCAGTCTTTCAACTCCTCTAGCCGAACCTCTAGCAGCTCCAGATCCTCCAGACAAAACCACACCTATCACCACCAACAAGACCAAGACGAAGAATGCTTCAACTTTTTCATGGATGAAGAAGACTTCTCCTCGTCTTCTTCTAGGCCTCACTACTATCCTTATCACCAGCCCCACCCCTCCACTACGCCCACTAACACCACCACCACCACCACCACCACTCAATCCCACCATGCTTTTTCCCAGCTCGACCCTTCTGACTTCTCCTTTTCCCCTGCTCCTGATCTCAATTTCGATTATTCGCCCAACTGGGCTACTACTCTTCTCCTCGAGACTGCACGCGCTATTGCGGACAAGAACAGCGCAAGGGTTCAACAGCTCATGTGGATGCTCAACGAGCTGGGTTCTCCCTACGGAGATACTGACCAGAAGCTCGCTTCTTACTTCTTGCAGGCTCTCTTTAGCCGCATGACGGATTCCGGCGACCGCTGCTACCGGACTTTGGCGTCTGCGTCGGAGAAAACGTGTTCCTTCGAGTCGACGAGGAAGACGGTGTTGAAGTTTCAAGAAGTAAGCCCCTGGACAACGTTCGGTCATGTTGCTTGTAACGGTGCAATCATGGAAGCTTTTGAAGGGGAGACCAAGCTTCACATAATTGATATTAGCAATACATATTGCACCCAGTGGCCTACTCTGCTTGAAGCTCTCGCCACTCGTACGGACGAGACTCCTCACCTCCGGCTCACCACTGTCGTGCCCAACAAATCCGGCGCCACGTCGTCGGGCTCCGCCGCCGTGCAAAAGGTGATGAAAGAGATTGGAAACCGAATGGAGAAATTCGCTCGCCTCATGGGCGTTCCCTTTAAGTTCAACGTCATCCATCATGCTGGGGATTTATGTGATTTGAATTTATCAGAGCTTGACATCAAAGACGACGAAGCTCTTGCTATCAACTGTGTGGGCACGCTGCACTCGATCACAACCGTCGGTAACAGTAGAGATTCGGTTGTGTCGAGCTTCAGGAGACTGCAGCCGAGGATAATCACTGTCGTTGAAGAGGAAGCCGATCTTGACGTGGGCGTCGATGGGATGGAATTCTTCAAAGGTTTTCAAGAATGCTTAAGATGGTTTAGGGTTTACTTGGAGTCGCTGGAGGAGAGTTTCCCGCGAACAAGCAACGAACGGTTGATGCTGGAGCGGGCAGCCGGTCGATCCATCGTGGACCTGGTGGCATGTCAGCCTTCTCACTCCATCGAGCGGCGAGAATCCGCCACGCGCTGGTCTAGACGCTTGCATGCAGGCGGGTTTAGCCCTGTGGCGTTCAGCGACGAGGTGTGTGACGATGTACGCGCCTTGTTGAGGAGATACAAGGAGGGGTGGTCAATGGCACAGTGTCCTGACGCCGGAATATTCTTGTCGTGGAAAGACCAGCCGGTGGTTTGGGCCAGTGCATGGAGGCCTTCAGGATAACGTACGGCGGTTCACACGCTTGATTTGAGTGAGTGGTTTTCACACGTGTGACGTGTTTTTTTTTTTTTTCTGGCACGTGCTTTGGAGGACGAGGGTACTACGGATTTTGTGAAGTGTGTATTTTTAGAAGCCTCAACGGTGGCGATCTTAAAGAAAGCATGGAGAAATTTTAAGTATAAAAAAAAAAAAAAAAAAAAAAAAAAAAGAATTATTGATTTGGGTCTGATTTTTAATTAATAGAAAATTATGGGATTTTTCCGAGTAAATTAAATCTTCCTTCCTCTTAATTTTGCGATTATTTATTTTCAAAGGAAATTAAAGAATTAATGGCCTTTTTCTTATCCTAGTCTTTAATAATTATTCTCATTATATTATTTTCCACGTAAAACACCTACTCCATTATGAATAAATTACTCAACAACGTAAAGGTCCTATATGTGTGTGCGTGTGTGTGTATATATATATATGTATACGTGGTCCAAATTAGCAATCAATAGATTAAATATTTAAAATTTTGATAACGGGTATGGTCTATAATTTAGATTTGAACAATTGACCTTCCTAAATTGTCTCTATATACGTCCTATTGATTACCGGTCGTGATGAAATTATAAATACTTTGAATGAATGATCATACCCTAACCCACCAAGATACATAGGTTCGTATATATATTATTTATACCGGTCGGTGTTAATATAACAAATTAATATGAATGATACACTAATTTATAATATTAATATGTTCAAATGGAGTTGGTATGTTGTGTAATTGTCTAATGTTTTTTTTAATTGGTAATTTAATTAATTAATTAAAATTATTACGAGTTAAGCAAATTAGCGAAATAAAATGTCGTTATCTAGTTATGTTAAGAGAGGGGGGGGTCCTTCAGAATCTTGGGACGGCCAATGGGCTTGGGCTGCGTTTGGAGAATCTCAAAATGTATTTTTTTAAAAGTTGTCTAGCTATTAGTGGCGTAAGGCCGCTAAGAGACTTAGTGGCCAGCATGTATACGTATGTGTGTGTATATATGTGTGTGTGTGTGTGTATGGATATATCAGCATTCATGGGTCACCTTCCATTTGAGAGAGAAAAAGAGAAAGTTAGCTTTATATTTGCCTAGTTATATCAATGGCCCCCACCGAAACTTCTATCAATACCTAGAAAAAGAAGAGGTTATTAATTAGCTAATTAATTGATTGATTAAGTTTAATTAATTTAATTAATTACTAACAAAAGAACAAAAAATAAATAAATAAATAGAGTTTCATGGTGCTGTAGCAACGTTAACAAGTGTCGTACTTTATAGCCAACGAAAGATGGGGGGAAAAAAGAGTTATAGTGGGAACTGCTTTTTAGGATTCAGATCCTAATCTTTTCATCAGACTCTCTTCCCTTTATATATATATATATATATATATACTTATATATGTTTCTGTTTATACACACACACACACACACACACATATATATATATATTATAATAAGAAAAAATTAAAAGAAAGAAGAAGTTGGCCCATATGTATCTGCTTTAAAAAAGAGATTAAACTTTGGGCTGTGTTTTGTACCATTGACGATGACCAGCTATCTTCCTGGGGGGGGGGCGAAAAAAGCTCGACCGGAAACATGTTACAAAAGAAAAAGATATTAATTATATGCTAAAAAAGATGAATATAATAATTTCTTCCTTTTCTCTTGTTTAGTATGTGTGTGTGTGTGTGTGTATATATATATATATATATATATATATTTATGTATTGTTAGCTTAACGTAATACCATTTCTTCAATTCTAAATTTTCTAATTAATCATTGTGGTTACACCTAATTAATATCTAGCTAATTACACTTTTCAAATTGTGGTCACGACATAATCTAATTACTAATCATAATTGTACCCGTATATATATATATATATATATATATTTCCAACTTCAATATTTTTCATAGACTTGTAGCCAATTTGGTAAATTTTGATGATGAACCCACCAAGTTAGTTTAATCAAGTGTTTCATTAATTTTAAGTAATTATATATATATATATTTATTAATCAGTTTATAAATATATATTAATTATAATACAATATAAATGATTTTAAACTCAATAGCTTTTGTTATTGAAAAACCTATAAAATATTAATGTTGATGTGGTTTAAAAGTATGATAATTTTAATCACTAGAATATATGTAATTATTTTATAAATTAATATTATGTGCATTATGAAAACATAAAAAAAAAATCCTAAAAATCTCCTTCTATATAAGTTTGCTAGCTTATATAGACTATCGTAATCTATAAGAATAAATTTTTTAACTCGAACTCATATAATCGATGATTTTAGAAGTGTCACGATAACGTTAAAGATTGAGTATTTTTATTTATATTTTTTCGCAAATGATTAATCTGATATTTAACACAAGAATCATTCTTATTATATGATTTATGCATTTTTATTTTTTAATTATTTTTAGTATTGTTATTCTAAATTTTATGAATCCAAAAGAGAAGGATTCTGTAGCAGACTCGTAGTCTCACACTTTTGAATCTTTGATTATGTTGAATCATTTATTGATACATACATACATACATAAAACATATATAGAGAATATGCAATTGACATTTTGGGCAGGCCTGAAAATGGAGGGGGCTACAGCCTTTACCCAAAACTTAGGCCATGCCAGCTTTATGTAAAGACCCAGATCAGATCAGATCAGGTTCAGTCACCTTACATGGCCATACCATACCCTCTTAAAATTCATCATAGTCCCCTAGAAAAAAAAAGCTGCCCTTTTCGTAACAGATACATATAATAACATGCCCCGGAGGAATATTATATGTGTGTATATATATATATAGACATATATTGTAGAAAGTTAAATCTCAAAAACATTGGCCGCATTCAAAATTTAGGTCACTCATTCATTTCTTACACATCTGAGAAGTAGGGACTCCAGTGTACCTTCTTCAGTAAATGAATCATTTTCTTTTTTTTTTTTTTTTTTTTTTCCAGAGTCTTCTCCAGTTTCCTTTTTCAAAGTTTTCTTTTCTAATTTTAGTTTTAATTTTTTTTCCCCCTCTCACATGCACCCAAAGCAGTAAAAGTCAGTACTACAGCCACATCATGCATGACTGAAGAACTATAACAATGTTAGATGGAAATTATTTTAACAATGTACTAGCATAATTGCTTGGGAGAAATGCTAGCTCCTCAGTCAATAACTCCTGAATCACTGAAAAGAAATCTTGACCGCTTATTGTTGTATTTTCTTCAAGTCCATGGTCAGAATTTCAATGATTTGGTCCAGTTGCTCAGAAACTATATATAGAAACTTTGTATAACTGAGATGCTGATATCGATGGCTAAACTTGTGAATAAGTTCCAGCAGGTGGGTTTATCCATAAAGATCCATCCTCCTAAAAAGTTATATTAACAGTCACCTAACCAAGTAAGTATAAGTTTCCACTGGAAGTGTTTGACACTTAACCCATCTACATCATGTTATCGTGCTGTGAGAGCTAAAAACCAGAAGCTTTAAAATTATGGACAAAACAATGAAGACCAGTGTAAAAGTAACCAAAGAACCTCAGCATATATGATACAGTACGGCTAAAATAAGGGGAAAGCCTAGTATCATTTCGAGACACTCCACCCAGGAGGAAGTCTCCACTTTCTATGCCAATATATCGACACTCTTGACCATAAAGGGAATCCAAAACTATAATCAAATGGCCGATCAGCGGGTCCCCCAACTACTAAAGGCAACCATACATACCTTGAATCCCTCAGGTCAGCCGGATTCCACCGGTCTGCCATGAAGATAAACGAACCTGGAATCCCCGGCAAAGGAATTACATACGTACTCTGTGCAAAAAATGTAGTGAGCCGAAACACTTTATTCCCTCCAATACATGGGTTCCCAATTGTCTCCCATGGCCCCATAATAGACTCAGCTGCATGAGCCAGTGCTTCGTTTGGAGCCCATCCAGTGCATCCCGACGTGATCATGTAATAAGTGCCCCCGTGCTTAAACAGGGCTGGAGCTTCCCGGTGCTGTCCCACGAGAATCCTTCGTGCACTATGAGTTACATCAAGATAATCTTCGGTGAGTGGTCCAATGTGGAGTTCACTATTATCCTCAGAGGAATAAATGAGGTACGCCTTGCCATCATCATCTCTGAAGATTGTCATGTCCCTGCTATCACATCCATGGGGCCTTT